AGCAACAGTCAACAACAGGTTTTAATATTTTATTTAAGTCAATGCACATTCCACATTTTGCTGTCCGCACGGAAAAATGTCCTTGTGTACAACCATTGCCCCTTTAGATGTAACTTATCAGTGCTGACTGGTGGATGCTAAGGCAGCTGGGATAAAAATCCCAACATACACTTTTTGAGGTGGAGTGCATCACTGAAAAGTCTGCAGTCTTAATGCAAAAGTGAGAGCAACAACCACTGAACTCAGACGATTGTTGCACATTTTAAGACTCAGGAAAGTGGCTGAAATGACTGAAAATGAACTGAAATGAATTGAAAGATTAATCATCACAGAAGAAAATGTAGCTATTGCTCAAAATGGATCAGTCATCAGTCATTGGAAGTCGTCCCTGGCTTTTGCAATAGACTGGAATGATCTCCAGTGCTGCTCCTTGCTTTAGTGAAGGAGCCTCTGGTTGAGGACCCTCTTTTGTTTAATGCTGTGCGGTATAAAGACTGAGTTGTGTATTCCATTCATGAACTGAGCAGCGTTATTCTGTGCACGACCAGCTCCAGAGCAGATCTGTACTCAGCCGTCTGTTCATTATGCCACACAACAGCAGAGCCATCTCACTATTTCTTGTCTTGGGGCAGGGATTTTTTTTCCTTCTATTATGTAATGCTAGCATGGTCATGGGTAAGAACTTGTCAAACAACCAAAGCTTCAAGGTGTAGATTTGCAATGCGACGGAACTGTTTTGAATGATTTCACAGGGGTCAGAATGAGCTTGCAGCTGAATGGCAAATCATGCATAATCTGGCAAATGCAGCTGAAATGATTTTACATTCCCCCCCCCCCCCATTGCTGTTTGGACAGCAAAATATCCCCAACTTGGCAAAGAAAAAAAAAATCAGCACCACCTGAGCTGAGTGGGAAGAAATATGAACTCTGCTGCCGTGCAAGCCACTTTCCAAGGAACTATGAGCCATTCTTTAAGTACTTCAGCCAAATTATATACCTCCCGCTCTTCGTGCCGTTCCCCTACCCCCTCTCTACTCTTACAGCTTGTATGTTTTTGTTTCTCTTTCCAAGTGTTTACCCTGGGTGGGGAGTTTTCAGTGCTATCTCTTCCATCCTCTTCAATCCGAGGCCTCTAACTTACAAAACCTCCTTTTATCGCCACACAAAGGCAGCTATGTACTTCTTTGTGTCGTGCTTGTTATCCTGTCTCGCTCATGTTCTGGCAGTCAGCAGACCGCCCCGCTTCATCATTGCCCCCAAATCCCTCCACTACTCCTCCAGACTGCAATAATGCGTCTAAGTGCGGCCCAGCATGGTGGTGAATGGGGGCCCTTTTCAGAACCACCTGCCATTTATCTAACCCTCGGCTGGTTACAGAGGAGGGAGCCAAATCTCAGGGCTCAGATACTTGTGACGGGTGGAAGGCCTAGACGCCGCCGAGCCTCTAAAACAATGTCTCCGGGCTTTGGTTTATACAAAACAAATAGTGAAAGAGTACCATTGGTGTGTATGTGGTGGGTTTCCAGCTTGGTTGCTTTAAGGACAAAGATATAGATTGTTGAATATTGTTGTCACCTAACTTGCCATCACTCGAGTGGCAATGTAGAACACTTCCTCCTGAGATTGGGAAGTAAAGATGACAACCACCTGTGAAATAAAAGTTTTGTGCTTTTTTAAAGAACATGTATTAATAACAAATATTAATGATAAAAAAGACTGGATCCATATTTCATAACTTTTTATTCACTGTACTAAATGTCCTCCATGTCTGAAGGATGTGTCTGCCAAATATCCACTTAGTAAAACTGGATATTTAGCTATTTTGATGATGTCACGTCAAATAGGACATTTGCTTAATGTTGGGAGGAGCAGATTAAAAGAATACTCTGGCACTTCAATCTGTTCCTCTCAGTGAGCTGCGATGAGCTGCAAATATGGGCTCGAAAAGTTATGAAAGCAGAGAACTGGATTATTTGTTAGCAAAGACGTGTAGTAATCGTGTTTTCTTGTTTATCACCCCAGGGATCACTCTGACATCAGCAGCAGTGATTTCATCCGGAAGTGTGAGCTCACATGCTCTCAAGGCTCTGCTGAAAACCACTGAATGTTTCTGTATTCATGCAATAATTGCATAATGAAAACTCAGTTTGACTCAAGTCACCCCCCCCCCCCCCCAAACCCACAACAACAAAACAAAAATAACATCCAGAAAAGATTTCCCCCCCCACAAAAACAGGTTAGTTTTTCTTCTTTTTTTCTTTCTGCTTCCAAGCATTGATTCCTTTCGTTGATGCATGGAGGACATAAGAAGCATGCAGTTTTTTAAATTTATGGATAACTCCTATTCAGTTTGCCCTGCTTTGTGCTCAGATGTACATTTATACATAGAAAAAATATGTAATGTACTCTAAACATTGTGTCTTTTACTAAGGCACACAATATCTTGTCCTTGTAGAGTTCCTTCCTGCTAAAAGATCAAATGTGAATCAAATTTCATGGATTGCAGGGAAAAACGAGCATCTACGCTAACTAGTTGTTTTTTTAACTTAAGAAGTGGGGCAGTGTCTAGCACTTAGAACCTGTTGTCAAATTCCGATTGCATTGTTAGATCGTTGCAAATATGTGTTGCTCCTCACCGATGTCAATTTTGGACTCTCTCTGTGCCAGCAGATGGCAGTTTAAGCCACAAATTGAGCCTTCACCCTTCTTAGGCGTTGTATGCAGTCAGGATGAGACAGCAGTGAATGCTCCTTATAGTCCATTACAAACACCCACAAGTGTGCGCACCACTGGCCAGCATGAGTGTGAGTCACTCTTTCATGATGAGTAGTGGTTATAGTTTCCACCTCTGATGACACCAAAGGCTCAGATGCATGAAAACACTTAATGATAAATGGCCACCTTAAAGAAATATGACGTACACATCAATACTGCATTATTCAATTTATCAGGCGTTCCTTTGTATTTCAATTATATTTTTATACTGACAAAGAGTACTCGAGAGTACATTTGGTTGTGATGGTAAAGCCTAACGTTATTTCCAGAGGTGATTTATAGAGGGCCTGAGATGAGCAGTTATCAGCATCAGTGGCAAAGAAATCTGCTGGGCTGGTGCTACAGTGATGAATATGAACAGTAGCTAAGGGTAAGTTGTGTGGAGCATAGACGAAGAGACAAAAAAGGGAGGGGGGGGCTATATGAGCGACTTTGCAACCGGGTGTCCACTCCTTCTTCCCCAAATTTCTGTCAGCTATAGTTGGTTGCTAGATTTTTATGGCCTCAAGCCATGCCTTCAGAATAAGAGCCGAAGCCTTTAGAGATTTGCTCGGACATGCAATTAGATATCTATTTAGGTACGCAGAAACACGCTATGTCATCCATGCACACGCACGCGAGCACAAAAAAAAAAACGTTAGCCACTAAAACTACTCTGTAGGTGCTTAACCTGAAGGATATTTTGGCTGTTTTCACACGTCAGTTGCCAATTCTACACAAATGACAAAGGAAAAGCTAGAACAAGTTTGGGAATCAGCAATTAACGTTAAACATCCGGCTTCTTACGTAAACCAAACCAGTTTAATTGTGAAAAGCTAACGCAGGATGTTCTTAACATATTGCTATTAGCCCAAACGTGACTTTAGGGAACGGCCGCGAGACTTTTTTTTTTTTTTTTGCCTAGGACAGCTAATTATGATAGTGTACTTTGTCGAGCGTAAATACATTTAGAAGAGTTGTTTAACTTAATTAAGCCAAGTGGACTGTTATAAAATCAGTTCCTGTCTGAAATTGGATTTTATTAAGGAGCTGCCGGGGCTCCCGCAGCAAGTCCTCGTGCAGACTCCTCCCATTGAGTTGTCCTGGGAAACACTAACAACTGTAAGAAAGTCAACGAGTCCTCCTGTTCTTCAGCGAGGGGGGCTTTTGGAAGGGAAACTATTCTCTCCACTTTACTGTGAAAAACCTTTGAAAGAGGAGACAATTCTATCCAGCTCCAAACACTGCAGGCTCACGTTGGGAGAATTACTATGCGTTCAAAAGCTGCCTCTTCTTCTTCACACTGAGCTTCAGCTGCCTGAGGTAAGAGGAGTGTTTTCTAAGGTACAAATAGCGACGTGAGCGGAGCCCGGCGTTGCTTTGTGTACACGGCCCTGGTATTTTACAATGAGGGAAGTTTTTGGGGTCTTTATTTTATTTTATTTTATTTTTTTTTTTTAATGGCTGCTGAGCGCTGAGGTTTAACTTGTTGCTCGGTAGCCATGACATCCTCGCTCAGGCTCAGAGCCTGTCCTGCTGGGCCCGGTTGTGGGTACTTCTCACGTTTCTGTGAACTCAGAGGCAAGCGAGGAAGTACACAGTCGTCCTTTCAGATGTAAAAATGATTCTGCACAAAAGAGGGGAAGAATCGAGTTATGCTTTCAGCTCTCAGTACTTTCTTGTTTTTTTGTTTTTTTTACTGAACGTTCAGGCCATTAAAACGTTGTGCAATGATCTGGGGAGGCTTTATTAAAGTATATACGGAAAACAAGATACACGTCGTTTAGAGTCGATGCCAAACTGTGTTTACTAAGTCGGTCGAGGAGAATTGACATGGCTCTGTGAGATTAATCAGTCATAAAGATCCATAATGTGACATGAAATGACTTTTTACAACTGTAATAATGGATACAACGATGCTCACTGAAATTGCCCAGCCCCAACAGTTTACATAGGTCTGATTACAATAACTTTTCTCTAATAAGACCATGATTAAACACTCCAAGATGATAATAAGTCACTAATAGGAATTACAAACACACTTCAGATCCCTTTATGACTGTTTTTTTTAATTTTATTCCTTTGAGGAAGTCCAGCTACAAGAGTTAATATCACTACATCCTTTTATTATTCATGCTTGTGAGAAGGTCTGCCCACTTGTAAAGGAAAACAGTTGCCTGCTAATTCATTTACACCCGCTTGACCTCATCCACTTAAACACGTTCAAAGGGACCAGGCACATTAACATGGCCGCCCTCCGGCTCCCCATAGGTTTGCTCTGATGTTGAAAACGCAAAACTCATCTCCGGTGCGTCCGCAGTGTCTTGGACTTTGTTCCCTTCCAGAACTTGAGGGTATACCAGCAGTGTGTGGCTGACCTGTGGTCTGCTTACACAGAGTCAGCCCAAATACCTCAGAAAGGATCTGAAACGAAGCATGCAATGTATTTGTAGTGTCTTTTAAGATAATCTGTAGCCTCATGGCCATTGCTAAAGCGGTAATTGATTCTCTGTTCTTAAAATGACCCAGATTACATGCTATGACGTGGAAATGTTTTTATCTGAAATCAGCTCCAGTTTCAACGTGACTGACAGAGATGCAGTGCTGAGGTATTGAATCAGAGGCCAGAAAAATAGGAAGAAGTACAAAGTGTGAAAAGTGACACAATAACAGGAGGAAATGGTTCTGTTGTGACTCCACTCTGAAGTTTCTTACCCATTGGGTGTGTCAGATTTTCCAGTATCACTTCAGCTATTCTGATAGCTAAATTTGAACTGTTATGCGTCACAGTTAACTGCGACACAACAACCCTGCCCACTTATGCCCACTCACAGGCAGCCAAAGAAAGGATCTTGCTTTTGCAATTCATGCATGCATTCATGCAATTGGACAGTTTCAAACTAAAAGGTCTCAGTTGGACAGATTCTAACATATTTTCTGAGTAATTTTTATTGCTACTTATCTTTTATATTTGAAAGTTCAGTTTAGGGGAGTTGGAAGGAGTTGGTTGAAGTGTTAAATCAGGCCCGGACGTACCCTGTTATTTCATCCGATGCTATTAACCACAGTGTCTGAGTGTGAGAGCAACACTTGGCCGCTCTGCAGTTTTTCATACGGCGACTCTGCAAAGACCTGCAAAGACATGCATCAGCAGTTATGTTTTTTTATACACAGGACTGAAGCATCCAGAGAGATCTCCGCTATGTTTCCATCAAACAAAAGCTTATTAGTCTGCCCTTTATGTTTCTCCTGGCAAGATGCAGGCTGAAAGCTGAAGCTGTCCTAGATGAGAAATATGTATTTAGCTCCAGTGTGAGAGACAAATGAAAGAGGAGTTACAGTTTTAAGGACTGTAAATTTCCATGAGGATTCTGCTGGCTCCACGCTGAACCCAGCCAATTTCTCATCTTCACTTACCCCCTAATTTAATGATGATGGAGGATACGCACTGTGTCGGCCTTGTAATTATGCTGTATTTACTATATGATAGAAGCATTAGAGCATGTCTTACAGGTACTAGTTCATCAAGTAGCCCAGTCTTATGGATAGGTCTGGGTATACCTCGGAGGATAACTGTTGAATTCCCAGCCGATATTCATAATAAATCCCAAGACTTGGTTTTTGTTAAGATGGGACTCATTGGAATCCTCACTGCACGCCAAACAGCAGCCACTCTTATTGTTTAAAAAAAAAAAAGCAGCCGTCGCCACAGCTTTGCCAGAGCTTTTCCCTTGGAGTAGAGTTTTCTTTGTCCTGAAAAGTATCAACCAGTCATTGTTGTAAGTCATTAATTTGCCTAATGGTGACATGAGGACATGCGTGGTCTAAGTTGTTGTGTGTCGAGTACACGTGCATGTAGGTGGAGCAGCTATCTTCATACAGCTGGGTGAGATTAACCCAGCTGCAGCAGTTTTACGAACAAGTCATTGGTTTTTAAATGCATTTGAAGTGAGTCTTCCTCTCTTTCATCCGGGAGACAAGGAGGTGTTTGGACTTTTCCACTGTTTACAATATGGATCCAAGGTGAGGGCAGTATAAATTATAAGTAAATCCAGAGACAACCTAAGGTAGCTACCTCCTGGGTACAATCATGTTAGTGCTGCTGATTAAATGTATCATTCTGTTGTGTCGTAACACGTCAAAAGAGGATATCAGGAATGATTTTTAACAATGCAGTTGTGTCCCATCAGTCTAGGAAGGGTTTTTAGGGTTTTAGGGTTCTACAACTGAGCTGCCAGGCTTTAGAGGAGTGGACAATCCAGTGAGCCCCAAGGTTTGGACTGCGCAATGTCACAACAAAAACCACCAGACAATGCTCTCTGGAGAGACCAAAGTCGAGAGGTTTGGTCAAAATGCACAGCTGCATGTTTGGAGAAAAAACACCTCACCCCAGCTTCCAGCATGGCGGTAGAGCGGCGATGATTTGGGCTTGTTTGCCAGCTGCACAATCCTGGGCACCTTGCCGTTATCGAGCCCACCATGAACTCCTGTAATCCCAAAGTGTTCCGGAGTCAAATGTGAGGCCATCTGTCTGCCGGCTAAAAGCTCGGTTCAAACTGGGTCATGCAACACGATCCCAAACACAGCAGCAGATCTACAGCTGAATGTCTGAGAAAGAAAAAACAAAACAAAACAAGGTGTAGTGATAACCCTGCAGTGAGTAATCACCAGAATCCTGATGCAGTGCGGTGGATATACATCTTAAATCAAAGTTATTTAGATCTGCTACATTCTTTCCATGGCTCAAGAATCTTTTGGGCGTGTATATCGGCCTGCTTTTTAGACTTTTTTTCTAAATCACTACTGTTGTTACAGGCTGTTTTTCCATCTTTTTGTACAACTCTCATCTTGAAACTTCGCAGACAGAGAAGATGACCTATAAGAAGTCTGGACTTTGAGGTTATGTTAAGAATATTTCCATCCCTTAGCTTCTCATCAGAGACCTAATTTCTTTTTCACCCCACTCTCCAGGTTTCATTTGTGGAGAAAAACAGCATTTGAACTTTCAGTGTGTGGAACGAAATTCATCAATTTAACCTATTACTACTTATTTATAAGATCCAATATTATGTTGAGTTCTTTTTTCCATTCAGTCAGCTTAGCTTGGTCAGAAATAGCGGTGTGCAGATCTACCTGACAGACATTTGAGACCAGAGTGTATTAAGATCTCAGCAGGGAACTCAGAAACTCTTTAACTTCATCTGCATGTGGAACCCAATTGTAGCAGAATGGGCTTTTTTTTCATTTTTTATTTTTTAGATTCACCGTAGGCATTCAAGCGTTTATAAAAGCTTTATCTGCCCAGGATGATATAAAAGCTTAAATGACAGTTCCATGCATGTGAGTGGCTTTTTATTTTTGTTTTTTCCTCGTTCACTTTATGACCAAAATGAAATGTGAAGTGACAACTTGTCAAATAGCGACCGAAATGACAGGGTTAGATGTGGCATTTTTGTCAAAAATATCTATGCAGAACATTTTTTTTTCTTACTTAAAAAAAGTGAAAGCTGTTTTGTTTTTTTATCTGTTTGCACAGACCAAATCTGCTCACTGAATTCAGCTGTGTGAACTCTTGTCAGAAGTTGAAAAGTACTTGCAGCATCAAGTTTTAAATAACATTTTTTTATGAGTTGCACCTTTTTAAAAAAATATATAATAACCACAAACTTCTTTAAACGTTAACATTTCGGCCAACTTTCCACAGTTATCCCAATCTTGTACTTTTAAATTGGAGTTTAAATGCGTTTATGTGCACAAAGATTATTCTCCTTCAGTTTGAGTTGATGGTTTTACATCAGTATAGTCTTCCCTCTTCATCATTGGAAATTCCTACATGTCTTTGAGCTCTCCTAGACTTAAGCATCGCATAGATGAATAGGAAGGTTCAGACCGCTATGTTGTTGGCGCAGACACCTGACCAGTGGTCTGTAAGCTCCGCCTCCTCCCGCTGACATCAGGGCTTTGATCAGCCTGTCTGTGTTAGCACAAAGCCATATTTAGCTCGGTGTAATCAGTGTGGCAAGAGCTCGCATGCCTGCCCAGGATACCTGCAGAGTATAAACACACCTGCTCTCTGATGGACTTAAAATTCATTTAATGTGCACCTGAAGGAGCCTGCACACCGCAGCCGCCATCACCACCTAAAGTTTGGGTAAGGCCTCCGCTGACGCCCGGGCGTGTGGCTTAGTTTGTGGACATGACGGCATTCAAAGTAGCTGGAGTCCAAACAGTGTTGGGTTGTCAGTCCAATAGCTGTGGGTTGTGATGTCGTGTACCTAGTTAACTCATGCAGGTCTGTTTTTTGTTTTTGTTTTTTTCTTTAAAGCTACAAGTAACATCTCCCTCACAGCACACCTCTCAAAAGCCTCTTTTAAAAAAAATTTTAATGACGCCCTCTTTTGCACGCAGAACCCCGTTATTTTGGACGGTGTCCTTCGAACTCGATCCAATTAACTTCAGCAGCAAAAAGATTCACCTTCCTTTTAGAATCCTGGGAAGGATGAATAGGAGCCTCCTCGTCCACATGACCTGTTATTTTGAGTCATCCGCGTTTTATGTAACCGAGGACTGTTTTTGTTTTTTCATCTGGTCCGACCATCATTCAGTTTGTTCATTTGGGCTCATTCAGCAGCTCTAATTGACCTTGCTCAAAGGTTGGCCTCAAACATTTCAGATGGTTTTGGACACGGAAGGGAGAGACGCAGCAAAAAAGTTCAATCGTGGCTGAGAATTACAGACTTTTTGGTCTGAAATTCTGCCTTACATTTCCTGTAATGTTGGGGGGGGGTGTGTGTGTCTGCAGCTCACTGACAGCACCGGAAACCCAGTCACACACTGCACAGGTTTACGTCTCAGGTTTCTGCTCCTTTTTCAAGAAATTCTAAAGGAACAGAGAGTCAGTTGACAGCACCGTTTCACCTGGTTGTTGTGGAACTCTCTGCTCTGACCCTAGAGAGGTCAAGGGTTTATCAGTGGGTAAAGGTACACAAACAGACACGCAGATTTGGGGGTCATTTCAAGTTTTTGATTGACCAAACCCGCCCCCGCTACACGTCGCCGCCCAGTTCTAAATGCAGACTGTGAAGGCAGATCCATGTAAGCTATAAAGGTTTTTCTTGCTCTTAAAATCAGGACTTTGTGAAGCAGTTGCATAAGAATGCACGGCCTCTCTAGCAGCGAGGGTAATAATAATCTGCTCAGGCCTGCTGTGAAGCTGGGGTTAGCGTTCTCTTGGCTAAACCTCTTACCTCCCAAATAAGACTAACAAACACTTTCCCTTCTTTAAACCGCCTTCTGTCAGTTTTGCACCTCATCCAATTTTTGGGTAATTTTTTATTTCTTTTTTAGTTTCTTATAATTATTCTTTTGTGTAACACTCCCTGGTTGAGTGATAAGGAAGACTAAAGTGTCAGTAAATTGTCATCTCCTATCTGATTGCTTTGCTATCACCTATCTGGATCCTGAAAGAGGCCGGTTTGAACTGCAGCTGAATTTATGGAAAAGAAGTCCCCCTGTACGGTTTCTTTTGTGTTCTTAGGAAAGGTGATACCTGTAAAAGGATCTTTAGATATATAGTCTGATTCCTAAGTGATTTCCCCAGAATTTTGAGCCATTTCTTTAAGATTTTGTGGTGTGGAAGCATAGGAGGAGGCATCAAATCTGGGGCAGCGAGTTGATCAAGGCCCTGGCCCTGATTATAGGCTGGCCCCCAGTGTGCCTCATAAGATAATGCTATCTGGGCCCACAGGTATTTGGTTTCAGTGGAGAGGGTAATAACTGTCACCAAACACTGAGAAGACCTTTCATCCCCAGGCCTTGTGTTGTCAGCCAGCGTTTGTGTGCAGTCTCTGCACAGAGGCAGCTTTTGTGTGGTAGGACGAGGTCGCGTCACCACAATGGCCTCATATCTGTCCGTAGAGACAATAGGCAAGTTTGATTAAATCAAACAGCCGTGACCGTCTAAATGGTAGTCAACACGGTGTGTCCGAGTTACCGCGGTGGTGCTGTTGTTGAGGAGGTGACGTAGCTCTGACTAATTTAGCTGTGCCTCAGAGGGTTGGAGCTGATAGTGAACCGTAAAAAGACTTAGACAAAAGTTCAACACTAAGCAGGCACACCTAACTCCCTCTTTCTCCCTGTTTTTTCCCCCCTCCTTTTTTCTGTCCTTTACGAGCTCCATGAAAATCCTGTCGTAGTCGCCCGGCCAAGTTGTCCGCGGCGGGGGATTGCAGGAGAGGTTAAACATCAGACTTTGTCGAGTTACAGTCAGCCTCTCTCCCCTTTCTCAGTGTGACGCTTCTTGTGGGCTTTGATTGCAAATGGTATGCCTTCACTGTGGAAACCAGCAGCCGGGCTAAACATACCAGTGCATTCTTTATGAGTGATGTTAGTTTAGAAGTTTTGTGCGATGACTCAGACAACATTCATGACTGGAATTAAAACTTTCTTTGGACTTGTATGACAAGCTGGACTTAACCATTCCACCACTGATGACTTGTTTTTTTTCCCTTTCTTTCTTTTCTTGATTTACCCATGATGAGCCCGCACATAAGTTGCAACACTTCCAAAACTACCAAAGAAGAAAAAGAGAAGTTGATAATCAGACAATGGGAAGTTGAAAACTAACAAACCTTTAAGAAATAATGGAATATCCCTCCCTGGGACTTGTATAGGACTTTGTGTGGGTGAGGGGTCTGGGGGGGCTTTTATGGCACACTTGTGACAGACACGCCATCCTTTTTTTCTTCTTTTCCGGTTCACTTAACTTTAGCTGTAACGGTGTGTGGGGAGCATCATCGTATCTGAAGAAAAGTTGTGCTGGACAGCAGCCTTCTGATCTCAACCTGGTCCCCCTTCAACCTGGAAAAGGGGGAATCAGGACTCATTAAACCACCTGATATTTAGCTCCAGTCAGTTTAATGTTCCCAAGCAAAGTGAATATTTCCGCCCCCCATTTTCTTTTAATTGGCCTTAGTGATAAGTGAGTTTTATTAGCCACACAGCTACACAGTCCCCTTTCTTTTGGGGGTTCTCAACCAGATGATTTTTTTTTTTATTTCAATTAGGGGCTGGGGCCACCTGACATTGTTATCTCATCCTTGTGTCACATGCAAATCATGTCACGGGCCGGTCAGCTGTCTCATTTGAAATGAAGAAGCACTTAAACCGAGCTGTGGTGAGTCGAGCCGGGCATTGCTGAAAAGATACTAATGGAAACCCCCCACTTGAGCATCTCTGTTAATGCTCTCACTTGTACAACTAAATTCCCATCAGTAATCTCACAAAGTTCATGCAATTTTCCCATCGTGATCATTCAGTCATCCGTTCTCTTTTTGGAAATGCTCCTTTGCCTCTGTCCTCCCTGGTTCTAATTGGAGTGCTCTTAACCCAGGTTAGTTATTTAAGCATTCTTTATGGCTGTTTCTTTGCTAGATGCAGACCAATAAATTGACCCCTCTGAAACAAAGTGGCACGTATTGCACTGCCTCAGGAAGTGTTCTCCAACATGTATTTTTTTTCAGGAAAGAATAGCTTCTTAGAGCATCATTTCAGGCTAAAGAATTCATAACCATCTCCACCAAATGAATCACTTTTCCAGTGGGGCGTTCTCTGCCCATTTGTTTTGCCAGGCAGTGTGTATTCTTACCTGTACACTAGGCTTACTGGGTCTTCTAAAAATGATTGGAAAGTGGACAATTTAGGGTGACCAACAAAGAGTAAAGGGTAACATCTCTGCAGTCATTTTTAATTGGTTGATGCCATCAATCCTGATTTTGTAAAAAGGATAAGTCTGTCAGAGGGTGAAATAGGATTGTAGTATTTTTCATTTAAAAATCTGCAAAGGAGTTGTCTGTTTTATCTCTGCATACCTTGATATTAGAAAGACATTCAAACAGTGTGTAGATCCAGTCATTATCAAACAACAGCTGACAGTACGATTACTAAGGATAACTTTCTTAAGAAAAATACAATACAGATCTACATTCACAAATACCAGTTAAAACCTCATTGGACCAAAAAAAATAAGAAACCTTATGTTGATTCATTTCTTCTACTCCAGGTGATGGTCTACTTCTGGCTGTAACGCAGAAGGGACCAGTGTGAGACAAATCAATATCTAAAGTTTTGTTATTTTTTAGGAATTGTACATTTTTGTGGTCTGGTCCAATTTAAAGGGGAATAGAATCACGCAAAAATGAACAGACGCACATCATGCAGTTGGGTGTTGAGTTACTCCTGCATCTATATGTTCAGTTGGACTGTAAACGGGCCTGGGAGCTTTGCATATCACCCACAGTTCCCACTTGAGACTTTGACCCTGAAGCACCCATGATGGAGTGCACAGTTCACTGCCAGTTGAGCTGTAACTGAAGCCGTGGTTGTGAATGCACCGAGCGATCTTGCCAAAGATAATATTAAACTCTGTCATGACAAAGCCTGCGCGTAAAGATAACATAGCCGTTTCAGAACAAAGCACGCAGCCTTTAAAACCTCATCTCTTCATGTGTCATGAAGCCTCTTTACAAAGTGGTCAAAGCTTTGAAATCCTTACATTTTTTATGCCACTACAGGCATCACATGCCAAAATCTACTGGTGGTTTTTATGAACAAATGAAAGCAACTTTATGAGATAAAACAAGACTCACTATCACTATACTGTGTGAACTATGCCTTTTAAATGTACCATCACATTTGAAATTCTACAGACATCTGACAGCGCACATTTAGAATGTGTGTGAAACAGAGGCAAAGGGGAGCTATCCGAGCTACTCTGTCCTTGTGTCATAAATATTAGTGGGCTTACACCTGCACAGGTGGCATCCGGTCAGTACTGACCCTCTCAGAGACTCTAAAACCCCGACCTGGGTAGTCATCACAGATCCCCGGCGTAGGATGACACCTTATGTCTATTTTGAGCTTGTGCCCCTCTTTTACATCTCTTTTCTGTGGCATTAATGGCGGCTCTCCATGCGCAGCCAAATTCAAAAACTTCAGGAGGAAGCAGCCGCAGGGAGCTGTTGTCCCCATAACACGGATCCACATTGACATTCCTCAAGTTAATTAATGGCCAATGGGAGGTTTCTGACCTAGAAAGACAGTGGAATGAAGCTCTGAGCCTATGAAGCAGTTACTTCAAGTTTTACATCGCCTGTTGTGATCATCAAGCTCAAATGACCTAATTGTGCATGAGCATATGTGTATATGTATGCATATAGCACTGAAACCTCAGATTTGCCCCAAACACTCACTCTGTTTCTCCCTTAGTGGCAGTTGTCTCAGTAATGAATTAGTAGTGATTTGTGTTTATCATGTTTATACCCTTTCTGGAATGGCTTGGTTTTCAGGAACAGGCTGCTCCTTTCTGGGGCCTGGCTGACAGCTGGGTTGATTTAAGGTTGTCCATTGCTCTTGGAAGGACCTTCAGCCAGTGATTTGGAACACACTCTGTAGCAAAGATTAAGAATAAGTTTATAAGCCACCCTACTCAAAAAATAAAAATGAATTTAGTCTGCAAAAATGCTTCCGTTTCAGAAAGGAGAACTCGGGGCTCCGCAGTGGATTTTAGAGGCAGTTTTCAGTCTCATCCGCTCCTTCAGTCAAATCTCAACTGCTATTTTGATCTGATTTGCAGTCATTTAAGCCTCGTCTTATGTTTTTGTTTGCTTTGTTTGGCTCTAAAGGCGGTGTTTTCCCAAACTTCTACATAAATATGTCCAACCATTTGAGTAATTATTGTAGAACAGAATTATTATTCCATATCTTTATTTTGACCTTATTAATTTGAATCAAGAATGAAGACGCTTTCACAAGAAGAATACCAAATGCTAACAGATGAATAGGTGTAGTGTGTTGCGTGTGTTTGCGGCCGCGTCGTGAAATCCTCAGCTTATTCTAGGGAAGGGTGTAGGAGACAGTCCGATTAATGATTTGCAAAGCTAATCCTATTCATCCGCCCATTCATGCTGCAGTCACATGGCTGTTATGGCTTATTTTGATAGCCAAGTGACCTGCAGACGCCATAACGGGTCCATTCACAACACTGACTCGGTATATCACCTCTACTATCCCCCACATTAAGGGGCTTTTCCCCCTCTATAGCGATCCATTTGTACCAGCTGCACACTTTAACGCAGATAATGCCTCGTGTCTCAGCAGCCTTCCTGCGACAGAGGAAGGAAACTCCCTCACAGTGGCAGTTCAAAGGCAGCTTGTGCCATAATGGAGACTCTTTAAGGGGCTCGGCTGCACCCAGTGTTTTAGTAAGAGTTAATGGGTTGTGTAATCTCTGTAAGCAGGTGTTTGGCAGCCGTAAGGTGAGCTCAGGGGATGCTGTTACTCAAGGTTCTTCTTTTACTAAAGAAAGATGTTGGTCTAATTGCTCTTTTCTGGATATTTCTTTTCAGGGTTGTAAAATGACAAAGTGTTTGATGGGTTAAGACCACTGATGCCCTTTTTGGTCAATTTTAACGAAACATTTTAAAGCTAAAATGTGAACGCACACAAAAAATAGCATCTGGAAAGCCCATCTTCTCATGTTTTTGTGAAGTTTTTTTTAGCTTCAGCATTGCAGAGGACATTATCTCTCATGCAGACTGCAACTTGACATCAAGGTCCACGTGTGAGCCACCTCAGCAGAAAATCTTGTAGCAGTAAATTGCCTTGAACTCGGGTACCCCCCCTCCCCCCGGCAGCCTTATGCGTGATACAGCAATGTGTATTCAGTGCAAACCTTTTTGTAATTTCCTACAACAGGACGTGAACTCAGAAATGTCCCACAGATGTGCAGCTATTTTAGAGGTCCCTTGTGTGCTCTGTGAATGATTGTTGCTGCCCAAGAGGAACTGTTAGACCGGATGATTTGTCACACCCACTACACTTTGTGATGGCGGGGGTCAAAGGCAGAGAATCTAGCAATGGCTGCCTGGTGAACAGATATCAAACAGGCGTTTGGGAATATTTTTAAATCCCATTAACATGGAGTCAAGTGACGCCTTGTCCTCCAAGTGAAAGAGTCTGTTGTAATCATGGACCCACAGAAAATTGCTGCCCAGCTCTGTCGCCTCTTTTAGTTCATTGCTGTAATTTGGTCTGATTTACTGTTTACTGAATCCCACTTCTTTCCCTAACCCCTTGAAAATAGTTGGCAGATATTCTGAGCAGACTAAACTCAGACAGCTTAAATTTCTTATCGGTGTGAAAGTCGCGATGGGGCCATTAGGACTCAGAATTGACAGGTGGTTGGCAAAACAGCACGCCAAAACCACCTCTGATTGAAAGGTGACCGCTCCACCGCCCTGAGCCATAGGCACTGTGCCCGACTACTCAGTGGATCCTGTAGTGATAACTCCGAAATACACAATAGAACCTTTGAAAAAAAAGTTGTAACTTTGATCACACAGGCTGACTCAAGTGGCTGGATGGGTTTGCTACAACAGACTAGCGAGCAAATTTAGCTTGACAGTCAAACTCCAGGGGAAGCTGTTAAGTTACAGTGCAACTTAAGCACCCAGCATACACAGTGGGGCAGCCACTGGCTGATCCGATGCACTAAAACTCTGTCAACTTTCTTCGATAATTTCAGGAAAGAAAAAGCCTCAAACAGCAGGCAGAACAGGCGAAAAGTTGCATTTCCAGCCAGTGGTTGGAGTGGGTGGCATGTTTTGAAAAGGGCAGCTATCAAAGGTCCCGTGAGCTAATGTTTTTCTCGCTCCAGCGCGTTGAACCTGCGATGCTCCGATTCTGCCTCCACACTCTTCACAATTCAAGTAATTATTTGTCAGCCAAACGGTTAAGCTGTTCTACAACAGGTTAATGCGTCCACCCTCTCTGACCAGATAAACGGCCGCAACGCGTGTTAGAAATCATCAACTCAAGGTTGCTGTTTTTGTGTGAGAAAGTTTTAATGCGGCAGAGAGAAAATATGGATAAAAGTTGTTTTTTTTTAAAGCACCTACAGAAATCTTCCCAGTTTCATATGCTGTGGTAGATTTACTGACGCTGGATGGGAAAATCAGAGTGGCACAACAGCCGAAGCTGCCACAAGCAGCTACCAGCTGGGGATGTGCAGAGAATATAAAGCAGGGACGCCACTGATAAAGGGCACAGGAACCTTCCACGGATGAATAAATGTTATCTGCTGTGTCCTCAACAGTCAAAATTGTGAATGTAGCAGCACACCTATTTCAAACCAAATGTTTTCTCATCGTGCAACGAGTTAAGTCATTCAGAGAGGCAAGGCAGGTAAATTGACAAGGACTGTAAGACAGACTCTGACATAGTCATTGAAAGAATTAGCAAGAGTTTAAAATTTGAAGAAACCAGTCGATCTGTAGTGGATATAACTCGAATGTCTTATAAGTCAAAGTTGTTCTTGTAGTTAGGAAGCTGGTCCTTGCCCCAGTGCACTTAAGGCAAGAGGATTAGACTCCAAAGTATTATTAGAGCGGCTGATTATCCCCGTACCTGATCCGCCTAATTCCAGCTCGGGCCTATTTATTTAGCAGAAAAGTGGAAAAATGTTTGGATTGGGCTGCAGAAGGCGAATTGGTTGTGCTATGCTTCAGCGCTCTGTTGAGTCCAACATTGACTCTTTCGGAGCCCTCTGCTGAACTCATTAGGTCCTGGCCTTTTGTCGCCGCCTCCCCCGCTGTGGGGCTCATGTGATTAATGCACTGCTGACCACTGAGGCCAGAAGCAAGGACTTGTTTTAGTGCCAGGGAACAGCAAACAAAAGAAAATTGTCTCCGCAAATAGCAGAGGAGAACGCGGGGCCTCAAAGCTGACCAGTCCCTTGACTCATTGATGATTGCAAGCAGGCCCACCTTTTTCAAGAAAGTTCAGCGAAAAACGTTTCCAATCCATTTGTGCTAAAGTATATATCTGATATACTTCTGTTTGAATGGAATTACACCCACCCACCACATCTGACCTTGTGTGCAAAGAAGTGCTTTTCAGTCCTAGATCTCAGACTGGGTGTGGGGAACCAAATGGGAGCAAGAGCCGGTAAATCCTGCAAGCTGATCCCACCAACATTTAAAGCCCTTCTTGAAAAGGCAGTTGTGATTTAGCTGATTTATTTCATTTGGTTGCCAATAAAGGTGACCAGAAGAAGCAAAAGCTTTAAAGCTCCTAAAAGGTTTGCCGCTGATATCCCACAAACCCACACATGCTGGACGAGTAGGACCATACCTGGGTTGGTTCCCTCTCTGTGACTATCCTCTATTAACCACTTTGTCAGTTTTAGGATTTCAGCCAGGATATAGATGAACCATCAACATGTCGACAACAAAGTCTGATACCACAAGAGCTGACAGACTGCGCAAAAAAAAGAAAAAGTTTTACATTGTTCCCTGTTTGGAAAATCTCTTGAATAGACTGAATTTCTTCTTAAAAGAGTAACATTTGGAAAATAACAATAATAAATGTATTGGTTTCAGAGTTAAGCCTATTTACAGTTGCCCAGCAATCCACACAGTCTGTTTTTAAATAAAAATGACCTTAAGCTCAAAAGTAACACTTTCTACTCCCTGTTGGATAATCATTTCCAAGTATTTGTCTGACCTTTTAATCCTTCTGCTCATTGATCATTATTAGATCCTCTGCCATGTAAAAACTTTCAAATTGATCATAGCTCCGCGCTAATGATTTAGCATTCTGCTGCATCTTTAGATGATACATAATAACAGGACAGACATTAAAGTATTGCTCTGATATAACCGTGCAGCCCAACCAAACTGGAATCAATATGCAGAAAATGTGTAAAACTGCATTACAGTGATCGTCTCCGTCCTACAGATGAAAATTGTAACCACAAACAGTGCAGAGCTGCTCATCTCTGTCTTAAAGGACCGCTCTTACCTTAGCAGATAGCTGTTTTAGTGATACTACAGCCACGGTGAGCTCACTTCAATACCATTTCCTTTACCTCAAAATGACATATTAACTTTAGACCTGAGTGTAACCCTACACATTCCGTTTGAAAAATCCCATTAACTAAAGAGACTAGCTGCCGTAACCTTTGTACCTACAGTGCATTATATTTAACTTCATGTTCATGACATTAAAGGCAGTCCCAACATTTGATCGTTTCCCCTGTAGAAATTGTGCCCCGGACAACAGACAACACTGCACACATTTTACACAAAATGTGTTCAAAAGGTATAGTTATAGTGTAGTCAGTCAGAGGCTTATTCAGCTCTGCTGCATCAGTGAACGGTCACTCCTGCTCACTGCAGTTACTTTACACAAATGTTAGGATTACCTAATGATAACCATTTTTTTTTAATGCTGTAAAATGATTGCCTTTTTTTTTTTAGAAAAATAAACTCAGTAAATTCTTTGACATAGTTGAATCCACCTATTTGCTATAACGATAGGCGAAAACATTAAAGACTGTCGCATCACCTGTAAATGTTTCACTGTTGCCACTTTCCATGGAACCATATGGAAAATAATGACTTTCCATATGAAAAAGTTATGCGAAAATTTCAGAAAGTATACTGGGAAAGTTCTGCATCGAACCATTGCACCCATGATCTGGCCTGTGGCGTCCGTCTTGAGATTCTGCCTTGGACAGCGCTCTTCTAGCACAAAGTAGCTCCTCAAAAAGCTACCATACAGATTTTGGACAGAGGTTATCAATGGAAATTGGATTGTCTTTGACAGCTAAGACATGGCGGACGTTACATGTCGACCCCCATGGGGGATGAGGGAGAAAAATCCACTAGCCTAATCTTGGCTCATGAAAACTCGGTATGAAACTTTTTTCAAAGAACATTAAAAGAAGCTCAAAGTATTGGGAGCACATTCTGTGACTGTGGTGATTTTAAAGAATATAAAAAAATCAGCTCAGATGGGGTTCAGCCCATGTGTTCTGAACCTAGCTCACAGCTCCGTGGCAGACGCGTATTCCTGACAAGGCAGCATTAAGGTCAGACTGTAACAGTATAACCGTGCATGAGCACTGAAGGAGTTTATGAAGATGCATTTTTTACTGAGAGCACCAGTGCCCTGTGGATATATCACAATTTAGACAGGCATATCACTCCTAACTTGAAGACCTTTGCGAAAGTTTGGTGTTTTCAGGATTTTCTAATAGAATAGGAAGAAAAAACTACTTTGACCTTTTATAAGTGAACCTGAAACTCGGATATCTTTAAGGTACCTTTAAATAGAAAGATAGAACAGCACAACTTCTCAGGCGATGGCAGATGAGAGAAATGTCTCTGAAGGATGATGAGAGATCACTCCAGCTCCTGAGTTCTAATGAGTCTGTCATCAGAATCATGCAGAGACTTAAATCAGTCAGTAATGACGGCTGCGCTAACCTATGCTGCAATGGCATTGTTGTCATCTTTTTTGTGTTGCTGTTTGTCTTTCTATCTCTCTCTCCCTTTGTCTGTCCTCCTCTGTGTGTAATGGTAATATGCTAACATGTTAGCAAATCTGTTTTTATACTGTTTATTTGGTGAACAAGGATGACCATCAGCAGTAGCATCTGTTAGAGGTGAATATTGGTAGTGATACATAATTTCAAGCTATTTGTAAGCCAAATGTTCACTTTTTCTCCAGAAGGCTAGATTAAAAAGTTACCTTGTCATTTTGAATTGTGTTTCTCCTAGGTTCAGGGCCTCTCTTAAGAGAACGTTTATCTTAATCATAGCTCAAATTCAGCCATCAGAGCATAAACAAAGAGCATCCTTGCTAAAGTGTCAGTTATTTCACTGTCATAGAAAAGTGAACATTGAAACAGAGAAGGAAAAGAGAAGTCATGCCATGCCAGTTCCTTCTACACTTGCTGTTCATCTGCAGCGGAAACGAAAATATCCATCAAAACACTTGCCAAAAAGTATTTTCTATCCACTTTGGAAATCAATTTTGTATAATCTCCTAAAATACATACAACAAGCCATAACTGATTTGTTGTTCTCTTTTCAGTGTCCAGGGAGATGAAACTCAATCCACAGCAAGCTCCATTGTATGTAAGTATCACTCATGACACTAAGGACTCGCATACCATGACAACTATTTCTCCAGTGCAGTATTCTGCTGTCATTTCCCTCAGAAAGGCAAAAGTGTCCATCCCAAACAGGTTCACTTCTCAGGTATGTGTAGGTGTGTTGCAGAATGTGGACGGATATCTCACTGTCGAACCTGTTTGGCACAACCCAAATTTTTAGGAGCAATTGTAATACTTCATGTGAAAACCGTGTATAATTTGCGGCTGTAACTCCACCCGACTTCAACTTGCGGACAGCTCTGATAAAGTGGAGAAACTGAAAAGGACTGTATTGTTGTGTTGCAGTTAAACTAAATTACAGCTCCAAATCCAATCCTGTTATCTCCAGTCAGGATGATAAAAAAAAAAAAACTCTTATCCCACTCATGGTTCTTCTCCAACCATTCCTTTCACAAGGCTTATGTCATCAAACCGTTTGCTTGTATAAACAACCCCCTTCCCATATATCCGGTTCCTCATGCTGATTCCGTTGATTAGGATCATTCTCAGTCACTTCACAAAAAAAACAAAACAACAACATCCTTTTTATCATCGCAATCAAATTGGCATCACATGGACGGACTGCTGTCATAACTGTGTCAAACAAACAGGCCGAGCAAGCTGTCTCACCCAGCAAGCCTTTTCCTATCGGCTTTCCTTTTTATGTCGGAAGTCTCCTCATTCTCTTTGGTGAGGCTGGAGGAGCAGCCATCCAACAAGAGCTCATTCTCTGATGTTTTTTAAGTTTACTGTGCAGGTAACATGGATGCACCAGCTGGCCGAGTGCTCCCTTTTGCAAGGCTGATGCTGACAAAGCGCCAGCTCAACCTTAAGCATCTGAAATTGATTCTGAATGCAATGCAATCATGTGTTTTTCTCATTTTATTTGAGCTTTATTCTTGTACCTTGGGTAATTAACTGAAAGTGTTACTATAGTTAAGTCACAAATTGCAGAGTTTCTGTAGGAACACAAGTGCTCCCTTAATTGGGATCAAATTTAAAATGTTTCTCCGGTGATATCCATTATATATTATTTCTGTAAGTTTTTTTCATTAAAAACACAAGTATACTTAAAAGAACTGTGTACCATAGGGGTTGCAGGCTATGCAAATATACTCCCTCCTGCTATAATATGACAATTAAGACAAAATACCTAGTAGGACCAAGTAGACTCCTTTTTGAGCTGCATAATTTGAAAATGTGATCTTTTAGATAATAAAAATGAAAAGCTAACCGATATTAACCATGTGGGACCCTTCGGTCTGCCGCCAGTGATGTAAAATGATGTCATCCAATTGGTGGGGATACAACCTATCTCTTCGTTTCTCATATTTCCAAACAAGTCAGGCAAATGTGGAAAGTCCAATCCTACAGCTAGATTTTGGTACAGCCTGTCTTACTCGTCCCAATGTTAGTTTCAATTTTGGTTCTCCAGCCTTAAAATGGGCTTAAAATATATTCAGCTGCTCTCATGGATTCCACCTAATTTGATACATATTGGGATATGTGTGTGAGTGCCTACGTGGTTCCACTTGTCCCCTTTAGCTAGCAGGTGTGGAGGGCACAAACAGGAAATGAGATAAGCGTGTGTGTGGGTGTGTGATTGTGTGTTTGTGTTGAAGCACATGCATGCGTGTCTAAAGCTTAGTCTGGCTCACATATTAACCACCCAGATAACCCTATCGGTGATTTACAGTCAGGCTCTTCATTGAATCCAGGCGGGCAGTCAGGCCTCATTAGCCACCAGATTTTAGACACTTATCACAGAAGTTCCCTGCTAGACAGCTCAGAGGGCTTTAAGCAGTCAGCTTGTATGTTTATCTAAAAAAAAAAAAAAAAGTCCCAGATTGCAAGGGTTTATATCCCAGACTTCTGAAACATCCAGTTAAAGAAGGCTAGAGGTCAAGGCCTGGATGATTACTTCAACCACAGAGGGATTTTTAGTCAGTCAGTGATGGATAAAGAAACTGAGCGGAGGCTGATATTTTTATTTTAGGGAGCAGCGAGGAGAGAGTTATGTGCTTCGTTAGGCTGGGGAGAAATGGTGGAAAATGTGGTCGCGTCCAATAACAATGAGAGCCCCTGTTGTTCTGACTAAGAGTAAACATGCTGTTTACATACTTGGTATTTAGCGGAGGATGTTTTCCAGAGAAGCTTAGCATTACACGAGCAGGTAGCAGGGGGGAGGGGGTGCTCAGCCTCTAACACAGGATGCATGACTGCGGGCATGAGCTCACCATAACTTTGAAGTCTCTGCTACCAGATGACGTCCACACTCTCTTCTTGCTGGGAGGGAAAGATGCGTTGGATTGCCAGATTTTGTGAATTAGAGTACGAGCACGGTTCAATTTGCCCGTGCAAATAAACGCATTGTGTTTAAATAAAAAGGAGCCGAATATGCTGGTTGCTTGTCCTACTGTTTGTCAGGCAGAAAAGCAGCAAGGATTGTAGGTGTGATGTGTAAGTTGTGATAATGTCTGCTGATTCGGAAAGCTCGGAACCAAAACCTCATCCACGGAAGGAGGCATTTGGAGAGAACCCGAACACTCATGCAAGATAACACGAGTTTGTTGTGAAGTGAAGGCGCGAGCCAGCCCAGCCTTGAAATAAATAAGTTTCAGTTCTTCGTATCAGTTCCTCAGTGCTAGCACAGACAGGTCCCGGTGAAGAACTTTATTATTTTTAAGTATCCCAGACTCACCAGGCTGGTGTTTTGCCCCACATGAGGACCTGTGCCACGCGTCAACAAAAAAAGCCACTTTGAGGAAGCAACCAGTCTAATAGGAATGCAGAAATCACAGAGATTTGATATTTGATATTTTGGCTGTTCGCAACCCCAATGTTCAATGAAACGCACCAGCAGCAATGAATAACACTTAAAGTTTCCAAGCAGGCGGTGGGCTACAGAATTTTCCACTGATCGGGACGTCTCCTCACACCCAACACATCTAAAGCGGCTCACCAATAGCCAGTCGAATGCTTTTTTGTTTCAGATCCGGGCCACTTCTCTGCTACCTGCTAAGTTTAGCGTCTAACTGCCAGAGAAATCAGTACCGATCAGCACAATCTGATGTCCCGTCATCCAGTTCTTGAGGGGGGAAAACAAAACCCCCCACACAGTTCCGCCTGTCTTAATAAACCCAGCCATAATGTCTGAGTATTCCAACTAACTGCAAAAGTAGCCGTGCAGTGTGTTTATACCAGCCGCTGCCGTACCTGGATAACTATAAGGAGCGCCTCTGGAGGATGTGTGGAAAGGACCACACCGGCTCATAGGTGCTGAGGAAGAGGGGGCTGGGCCCGTAGCCTCCAGCTGTGCTTTTGCTAAAGAAGCTGCCTGTTCCTTGTAGAAGCGCCGTGATTAGCAGGTCAATAACTCAGCGGGTCACTTTGTTAAGCACTTATAACCAGCAGAGAGCACAATTACACAAACATCCATTACACAAGTAATGTCTTCTTATTTTTAATTCCGGCTGAATAATTTGGAGCCAGCGAGAGTCGGCCTTTGTTGTGCGCTCCTTCTGCTGTTATTAGTTTCTCCCGGTCTGCTTTTTTGCATGTTCGGCTGAGGTCTGTGTGCGTGTGTGTGTGTGTGTGTGTATGTGTGTGTGTGTGTGTTTCCTGCCGTCTCCAACAGATGTTTCAGATCTCTCCTTCTCCACCTCCACCCCCATGCCTGCCAACACATTTGCCTCCGAAAGGACTCACAATGATCTTATTCAGTTTTCTCCTCTTCATTCCCCGTCTGTTTCGGGATTTTAATTAATCCAAAGACAAAACCCAGTTTTGCACATTTTATTTATCCGCTCAGTTTTCAGGTAATTCACTGTGGTGGAAAATGACTTCCAGTGTTAACTGTAATGGGCTGATGGTAATTTGGATATAATGAGAGGACCGCTGTGTTTCTGCAACAAATCTCAGCCGCTTCGGTGTCAGAAAGCAACAAGTTGCCCTTTTGTCAGAGGTGATTTGCCACCCGCCTACGGCACCGTCGAGAGAGCCATTTCTCTTCCTGCCTTCCCCTTTGTTCGCAGTGAAAAAGTGGAACTTATTTCACACTAATGCGCTTTCATTTTCCCATGGAGTACCAACTGCCAAATTCACCGAGGTACCAATCTGTTCTATAGCGGCAGGCCCCTAATTTCCATTTGGGGCTCGGGATAAGAGATGAGTTTTTAATGGAGAGAATGTCATGCTTGCTGGCTGCGGCCAGTCCACAACTCATTTAGTCCAGTGCCTCTCCTCTGCCGGTTGGAGCCGATACTCTCTGAGCATCACTAGACGCGCGCCCTCCACGCCGCGATGTGCTGTGCTCAGGTCTGCCTCTCAGAAGGTCACCGCAGGCTGCCTCTCCGCCCGCGGCCTCTGGCCTCATTTTCCCTTTCTGCGGTGCTACGCAGCATCACTGGCCTGCCCAACAGAGGCCTCCCCATCCTGAGGCTGCCGGTCAGCCTGGCTGTTGTCTGCCAACTGATCTTCCCCGAAAGAAACAAGGCCCCCGAGGCCACCACTTTATGTAGAGAGGAGGAAACACCTTCAACCCTCTCCAGCTCAGCCCACCACGTCAAGCTGCTCTAGCTGGACCGAGCCGAGTGAAAGGGCCGCAGCGCCGGTCAGAATAAGTGGGATGAAATGTCCCATTATCCCTCCCTGGTGTCGGCAGGCTGCAGTCCTCCAGTGGAAAACAGATCATTTGAACAATATCCCTATTTTCTGCTGCCTCTCCTCCTCTACAGGCTATCCTCAGATGAACCCACATCATTCGCCAAAATGTGCAGCCATGAACTTGGCCCATTGTTACTTTATAAGCAGAGCAGACAGTTCAGTAACCACACAGCGGCACCATTTACACTTAGGGGATTCACATACGGCATTATCCTGCTAGCAGACTGAAAGATGGAAGTCAAAAAGTCGCCCCACAGGCTGAATCAAGAACATGGACCCAGTCACCCCCCTGGTTAGCGGGCTGCTGTTTTTGCTGACACGGCCATGCCGGCTGTTAAAATTGTTTTTTGAACGGGCTGTTAAAAGTGAGAGGAGGACATGTTGCCGCTGCACTCACCTACAGACCTAATATGAAAGGCTTGTCAAAATAAGTGTTTATGTTCGTGGGAATTGTGGGCTGGTTTTGAAGAATGATCAAATGTTTTTTTTTTTTGCATTGATTTATTGTTTCTTTTCTTTTTCCTTTAAATCTGTGAAACAGCAGATAAACAAACACGCTTCTGGTGTGAAAGAAGAGTGTTGGCGTGGATTTGCTGTAGCACTTTTCTCAATGCCTTTCTTAACTCCATCCTCTTCCTTCCTCTTTCCACCCAACCACCTCTGCAGGGACACTGTGTCGTCACCGTGCAGCTCGCTGACGAGGAGCTGGCTGCCGACCATGAGGGCGTGGACTACTTCCTGCTGTTCGCCGGCAGCACGCAGAGGCACCTCACCAGCACCCTGAGGAGCAGCCATGACACCTTACAAGCCCTGTGTCCCGGTGAGCCATTGCTACCCACCAGGCCCTGGAGCCCCCCGCCTTTTCAAATGGGGAGACTTTCCCTTCATGAGCATCATGTGCCGTAGCTTCAATTCGCTTTAAGAAGCGTTTAAGCCTTTCGAAACGGCACAGGCTGTCTCAACAGTAAATTTAGGATGCTGTTAATTCTGCTCTGGTATTGGACCGGAAGCACAGAGCCATAAACGCCCACTGCCCCGTTTTTTAAAATGATTCTTATCTTTTTAGAAAGAGAAATCACCTTTTTTTTTGCAAGTCTGGTTAATTCATCAGTTAATGCTTCACAACTAATCTTGAAAAAGATTAAAATGTGGCAAAGGTTTGTGAGAAGTATCTACTTCAAGGTTAATGAATGAGCAACAATGGGAAGAACGGAGGACAAGGGTCTAAGTGCACTTTTTTAAACATTCGTCGGAGCAGTTCGTCTCACTCGAAAGAAGATGTGATTGTGAAATGTATCCATTCACCGAGATGTTTAAACGATATCAAGAATTTTCTTTTCTTTATTCAGATGCAGGCTTCTATAGGGACTGCTGCATGCCCTCCTTAAGTATCTATTGAGTCACAACTGTTTTCTGAGACGGCGTGAAAGTTTAACAGAGCTAGTCTGAATATGCAACAAATTACAAAATTAAAAGCAGAAGAGTGAATAGGGTACAAAATAAAAGGTGGGATGGTGATTTGTGGAAAAAGCTGGACAGGATTGATAAGAAATGGAGCAGTGGGAAAAGACTGCTCCACCTGCCACCACACACACACCTCACTTTGCTTAAATTCACCACAAATACACACAGGCTTTGAAGACAGCGCTGTCGCAGGTGGACAACAAATAAGTTGATTTGATGAAATGCAGGTGTGACACATCACCGTCAAGACCAAAAGATGCCTAAAGCGCTTGTAGGATTGATTCATTAAACCCCATAAACTGTGGCTGTAGTTCAACAGCGGGTGCCAAAACAACACAGTCATGACCACCATCATCATCCTTCTTACCCGTTCTCCACAGTAAAACATCACCAAGGGCAAAATCCGATCAAATTAGTACATTCCATCTTCATTTCTGTGAAGGTCCGAAGGCTAATTGTAAATTTAAAGAGCATGCAGTGATCTACAGATTTCAGAAAATATTTCATTCATAAAAGGAAATAGAGAATTTTCAATAACAAAAGTAAGGCAACATGTAGCAACAGACCCATGCCGTAACGGGGAATAAAGAGCAACGTGGCAGTCTTTTGAAAACAAAAAAGAAGACGATTATATCTGTAAACTGACCCGCAAACACTGTTGCACTCTTAGAGTTAAAGCTTTTTTCAGACAGACTGAGTCAAAGTGACTAAATACTTATCGGTCAGGTGAGTGCAAATTTAAAATAGTTTTTGGAGGAAATAATGGATGATAAAGAGGAGAGGGGTCATCTGATTGGATATCTGCGCTCAGCCCGTTTGTGATGGTGTATAAGGTTCATGCACATTTGGTGCATCATTAAACAAATACAAACAAGAGGAAAAATGTAATAAGAAAGTCCCTAGACTTCTGAGCAGCTAGAGTCTGAGGTGAGACAGTAAAGGTCCAGCAGCTGGTCGTCCCTGTCCAGATTTTTTACAGAAAGTTGGCAATGCCCCATCCCAGCTCTTCTCAGATGAGCCGATATTTTTCATGGGATAGTCAAAACTTTCCACGTTTCCTGTATTTTCTATGTTCATTTGTTTTGTGAATAGGATCATTATTTATTACACTTCCAAATCTTTCTACTATGTATACCACTTTTGTTTTTTTCTGGCTGCCTTCCAAAAAAAACAAAAAAAACATGATAAATTGCGTTATCTTATTAAGAGCTCAGCTGAATTACAGCCGTCTGGTGGGGATTGAGAGGAGTTGTTGCTTTCTTTTAACAGATTAGCACTGCTTCACCGCTCTCTCCATCAGACCGCCGCGAACTCCAAAGGGCCGCGCTTATGACCAAAGAAAAGGTTACAGGATATATATATTTCCCACAAGGCCTGGAAGAATGGTGGCAGGCACAGTGTTGCCGCCGCTTCGGCTTGAGAAACACATGGATGTTTATCAAACGTTCCAGTTGGCGTGTTGCAGGACTCGGGCACATGGTAACACACATGACAGGAATGCAGCTCACAGGGTGCCACGAATGTTTGGCTCAGTGCCTCCGAGGCCGGTAGAAAACACGCCCGGCGGCAGCACCCAGGGTTTCGTGCGTGGACTGCGGCCGTCCCCTTCTGTTCCTTCTTTTCTTTGCGACAGCTGAAATCCATTTGCATAGACTTTCATTTAACAGATATCACGTTGCGCGGTTAATTCGCTGCTGACTCATGTTTGACTCGTGACTTAAAGGGGAGCCGTCGGAGGAGATGAAATGTTTCATTAGGTTAAATAGTGCTCAGATTTATTGGTATGAATTAGGTTTTAAATCAGCAAATCGTTAAGCCTGCGCCCTGTTGTCAGGGATTGTTGTATATTAATGTCACAAGATGAGTTCAGCGTTTGACTGCGGGATTTACAAAATGGAAAAATTAGGCCTTTTTCTATGAATTTAGGTTTATCAAACGAGCCTCAGTGGAAGCCTTTATATGTGTGGCTTGCATGACTTGTCCCCCTACCCACCCGTGGATGCTCAGACCTCCTCTTACTAGACAAACACATGTGTATTGGGGAATCGAAATGCCTTTAATGTGGGGGAACTACGTCAGTGAGCTTGACTTAGCTGGAAATGCACAAGTGTTGGCTTGGAGAAGAACTCCAGCTGGCTGTGTTTCACTGGCATGTTGTTCAGCCTGCAGAGTTTCTCACTAACCAGGCTGCCGTTTTTTTTTTTTTTTTTTAAGCCATTAAGAAAACGGCAAAGAATATTGATATTTTTTTAATGGCCCGCACTACGTCCAGCCTCAGGATTTCACCCACATACCAAGAGCTGCAGAAATTGTTCTGACCGATTTTGCTTTTCCTTTCTTATCATTTCTCTTAAATTTAAAGTCAGTCTTTTTTTGAAGGGCAAAGTTCTGAGGGGCGACAGGCAGCCATGTCGGTACGACAAAGCCTTTAGACTTTTTGATAGCCCTCCTATTTATTTTTGTCAGTTTGAGATTTGCAGCGGCAAATTGATTTCGGACCAATCAAGCCTGTATAAAAATGTTTTCTTTTATGGCTGACACTTTCAGTAAGTTTTTAAGCCAACAAAGTGGGAAACCTGCCAATAGTTTAAAATACCTTTTTTTTTAAGGCATTAAGAAAACTTTATCTTCTGATTTGAATTTTATTACACATTTATGACCTGACCAGTCCTCTGTCCAGCCTTTTTACTTCTTATCTCACCTGTTCTTTTCATGTCCCCTCTTTGTGTTTTCCTGTAGCTCACGACTGCTGCGAGGGGGTGTTGGTCACCTTGTGTTCAGCCGCCCGAGATATCTCTGAGGACAGAAAGTGTCACTTAGGCCATGTGGCTCCATTGGCCGAGCAGCGATTCAGCTTTGTCCAGGATTTGGCTTTCGACATGGCCCAGTTTCTGGTGAGTCACTTCCAGCCTTTTGTCAGCAGACAAAAAAAAAAGACAAGCAGAACTTTAAGCTCAGCACAAAAAAGAAAAGATTCATATCAAACAAATGGTCCCTTGTTATTGTTCTTCCTCTTTTAGGCTGAAAGTCATCAGTATTCATGGAAATGGCATATTGATTTAATTTAACAGGGAAGATGACTACATAGAGTAACGGCAAAATAATGAAACATATTTTCCCTTTTCAATGATTTCCAATTTGACTTGATTTGTTTTTGTCAACACAGCTGCATCCCCAAATTGGGCTCGGAGCCGATACACACACACACACACACACGCGGACATGCCTCCCTAAGTTTACATCCTTAATTATTAATAGGCATTTGGTTAATGCTCTTATGATGAGCATTGCAAAATGTGCCTCCATTAAAAAAAATTGTCAGCTCTGCCTCTTGATAAAACTTGACTCATCTCGGTAATCGTCTTCCGCACAGGTGAGCACAGTGGGCCGGGCCGATGGCCTCGACGGGGCATTGATGCTGGACGAGTGTCGGATCCCCCTGCAAGAGTGCGAGCGCCTGGACGAGAGCCTGGCACTGGCCCTGCAGCACATCCCACTGCCTCCAGGATGGAACTTACTGGGGAGTAAATGGACCAGCGGCACCGGTGAGGCCGGCACTCTCTCAATATGATTCCCTCTAAGCAATCATTGACCGTTAGCTGTTCAGAACAATCTGAACAATTCCATTATTGAACAATTGAACGCAGCACTACACACTACCCAGTTTTTGTCTCAGCATCTGAGCTCAGGATGGGAGAGAGCAAGTGTTTATTGCCTTCTCAGATTAAATATCAATACTTTCAGTTGTTCCCATCCAGCTTTGTTTTGCTTAATGTGGTTCCCCGTACATGTTAGCTTGACACGGACAAGACAAAAACACGCCATGAGAAAACCGTAGTCCAGAATTATCAGTGTGGATGTCAAGGTCCTTGTTACTGTTGTTATTGTAGTTCTGACTGTGTAACAGTAAGTTTTGATGTTGCAATGGAGTTTTGAACTGTGCTCTCAGTCTGAAGCAATATTACTTCGCTGACAGAGGAGTGGTGTAATCCCAAACCAAGAAATAACATGTAAATAACACTTCCATTAAATAACAATAACACTGCACGACAACCTCATCAGCCTAACCCTCACAGGTGGTCATTTTAGATTATTCTATCTGTTATTTTGCTGAGAATATCGGGCATATGACATGTTATTAGGCCAAAGGTATGATGGCCTCTCACCTCTGCTCACTAATTATTCCTCCTTTTAGTGGCCTGTTATTAGCCTTCACTTGGCTCGATATTTGCAGACCTATTGAGCCGTACCTCTGGATTCCAAAGGGTCTGGCTGTGTATGAGGCTGGCTGCTACGCGGTCCACTGAGCCCATCCCACCTAATCAAAACAGTACTTGAGACCAGAAGCACGGCGGCATGTTTCAGCGCTGTCTCTGAGAAAATCTAAAAATATACACCGGGTCTGTGTTTGCTCATCTATGGCATCGAGCAGATCGATTCTGGTATGAAGTCACTTTAGAGGTGACCGGAGTTTTAAAGGGAATTCAACATCCACCGTGTACCTGCGCCCGTATATCATCTCACTACATCAAAGCCACCGCCGGCAGCAGGGTGGAGGTTAACCATTCAGGCGGTTTTCACCGTGGATGACAGGGGATTTACCACCTGGCAATGGAAGCATGACACCATAAAACCTTTGTACAGTGACACTGCCAGAAAGGTCAAGCTGTGGAAATCATTTGCAGGAGCAGAATGTGAACGACCCCGCAAGTACATAGCATAAGAATGTGTGAGTGCGAGAACGTGACTAAGTCATGTCGTCGTGGAGACTGGCCTGATGGAATCTGGCACAGTGGAGTTCTTCAACCCGGGCACGTAGCTACAAGGCTATGAAGAATCCCATCAGAGACACCGCGCGGAGCCAGCGTGCTAGTAGTTAAAGCCTTTTAGTGAACTGGAGAGCCTGAAAAGAATTTTGCCCGACAAGTGTTTTGCAGTTTATTTTCTATTGCAAAAAGCCGGAAGGGTTTTGTCGAGGAGGGCAAGCAAAGAGGGGGGGCCTCTGTTTGAATTGGTTACCTTTCAGAGGGTAGAAGTTCCTACCAAAGTCAACTCTTTCTGTTCCTAGAAAAATCTAAAATGTATCCCCAAATGAGCTTATGGTCCTCCTCTGCATCAGGCTGCACGCACAGGCAGAGCTTTCTCTGTGTGTGCAGCCTGGCAGGCGACGGTTTGGCTTGTGGGAAATGGCCGAAACGAAAACAAAAACATATTTTTATTGAAATTACAGCACCAGCGTTCTCCTACCGTTGCCTCGGACGAGTTTAATCAATAAAAAAAAAAAAGAAAAGAAAAGAAAAAAAGCCACACAAGCTGATGTGGATGATAAACTCTGCAAAGTAATTGGTGTCTGTGATGCAGCATAAATAACACTTCTGGGAGTAGTTAGTTCCTCGCCTCTGCCTCTGGCTATCGTTAAGATAATAGCTTATGGTTTAACTTGAAATCGGATATGAGGCCTAACCAAGAGAACCAGCAGAATTTAAGACGCGACTGACAGCTAAAAATGAGCTGCTGAGGCGCAGGAGAATGCAGAGTTAAAAATGAAAGCCCGCACGCTCACTTAGAATGTCTCTTTCCATGTTGCTGCCGAGTCTGTGGAGAAAGTTATCAAATCAGACTTTCAGTAATGACCACTCTCCCGAACAGATAAGATCCGCTTCCTGGTTTGGGAAGTCATTTGCTTTTTAAAGATGGACGCGCGCACACACAAACACGCCTACACACACACACCTACACACACACACACTCTAACACACACACACAGACGCTCGCACACTGACTGGCTCCTTTGCATGAGGTGCAGTTGTCAGGACGCTGATGCTGAAGGCGGTTTCCAGCAGAGGTGACTGATGTGTGCTCTAATAGGCTGTGCCTCACAATATGTCACCTCTTCAATACAAGACGCTCAGCGGCGGCGCGCTGCGGGGAGGAGGGAGGAGGAGCGCAGCCCGGCTCCCGGATGATGGATAGCAGCGGACCGCAGGTGGAGGTGACGGCGGTTTATCTCCGTCACCCTTCGCACTGCGGGCGCGCAGCACTCACAGATCTCACCCGCGCAAGCCATTTGTTGTTGTCGGAGAAATTCCCCTCACCTGGAGAAACCGGGGCATGTCATTAAAAGTGGTTAGCAATTCCCAACTGATTCACCAGGCCCGAACAGGTAAAGGGCTTAATTACATGCCCCTCCTCGCTCAAGTGTGTGGGTTGCTATACCGACCTCTTCAGTTTAGAGTTCCAGCTTGTTAACTTCTACTAAAGAGAAACTCCTCTTTTGGTTCTTGAGAATCTTCTGTTATTTCTTATTATTGTTCTAGATTGACCGCACATTGGCATTACTGGGTAATTCGGGTCATGATAGAGGGACCCTGCCTCCATTATAGCAGTCTTTTGCTGTCTTTTTTTTTCTTAGTTTTTTTTGTTTGCACTTCATGAACTTTCTAAATAAAGTCTGCCAGTTTCTCAAACAATGGCTTTGAATTTTAAATGCGAAGCCATTGTTGCTTTCTCATGAATAAAAAAGTTTTCAACCAGATAGGCTATTACAGCCAATTTTTGTCAGTGTAGCTTATGATAAAACCCTTTGCCCCTGAATCAGTAAAAATAAGCTGAGTCTTTCTTCTTCTTTTCTTTTAAAAGGAAGCCTATTTTTCTTACTTAAATAAGGGGATTAAAAACGATTCATCAGCTTCCTTGGATGCATGACTTAAGATCATGAAGACGAAGTCCATCTTCAGTTCTTACATTTGGCAGTTGTTTTTTTTTTAATGGTAATCATTGTGGGGCAATATTGACCTTTAGGTTTGAAGTCACTTGTTTTCTGTGCTGCTTTATTTAAGCAGACTGGGTCATTTTTTATTTTCTGTTGAAGAGTCTCTTCTGTGTGTGAGTCACTGTCCAGTTTTGGCCGGGCTTTGTGTGTTGGGCACTACTCATCTTTTTTTTTGGCTTTGGTATACACAGGGGTACGCTTTTCTTTACTTTTGTTTACACCAGTTAGTGTAATGAGTACGTCCTCCTCAAGCTGCCAAACGATCTCCGACCAGTCAGGGACGAGGACCATCTGTGGGGATCCAGGGGTGTCTGGCACGGACAGGTTAGAAATAGATCACCTGGGCCCTGTGGGTTGTGGATGTCTTTGTCGAACGGGCGCACTTCCCACGCACGCCTTCAGACCCAGTCAGACCGTGAATGTCACAGACTTTCTGTTAATGATGTTTGAGGCCTTCCCTCTTCTGAATGGCTGTCGTCCAGAGGGGGACACTGTTTCTGCAGGGCAGGTAACTCCAAAATGTTACCGCCACTCACGGTCATGTTGGAAGAAAGGTCAGGGAAGTTGGAGGGATTCCTCTTTTCTGAATCCAGTGTATATGGGTTTGAAGTCATTTAGACGATTCTTATTTGCTTAACTGAAGTGACAAAGTTCTCTGTGTTTGTGACTCCTGTGCCTCAGCTCGGATATCAGCGCAGAGGGGGGAAAAAATGGCACAAACCACCAACAAACTCCACAGAAAAAGCATTTCCTGCTGCTGCTTGGCATTTCGCATTCCAGCGCGGCCGGGCTCAACCAAGTGGAGCGTCACATTTGACCAATTAGCTCAGTTCAGCAGGGCAGGGCGGTTCAGACAGGGCCGAGGTAAATGGACTGAAACCTCTCATCAGCACACCCAACCGGCGTTATAAATGTTGCTTAATGATAATTGTGCTGCTGATAACCCCGAAAAAAAAAGTGTTTCAGGCCCTTTTTTTTTTTTTTTTTTGCTTGCTCTGATGTAATTTTCATTTGTCTTCCCTGAGGGATCATACCTCTGCTGAACGCAGATGTAAATCTTCCCACCAGGCGGAAGAGATGAGTGATGAAGTCATTTCAATTTCAAATGAAAATAATCGCTTCTCCCCCGAATTACTGGACATTTCCACCTGCTATACCTCTGGAACACTTCGAACCATTAACCTTCAACCATTCATCACCTTGGAAAAAAAAAAAAGCTTTGAACACTTATCGTTTCACCTTGCACGCCTTTTTTTCCCTGACATTACAACAATGAGGCCCTCATAGCAGCGTCCGCTTGAAAGCAGACATAAGCGCACGCGGGGCGGCCGAGCAAAGTTTGAACAACTGCTGTAGGAATGTTTATTTTCGCTCGCTCCACTCAAGCTGATCTGTGGAACAGCCGCTGAGCCCGGCTTTAAGGCTGGAGGGAGTCTTTGTGGAAACCTGTTGCTCTGGCAGAAAGATGAAGGTTTGTGTGTGTCACATGCCCATGAATCTCTGCTATTGTCTTGGTGGGTGCTTCGGGGGAAGACTTGTCAGTGAATAACAGGGTTATAGGGGAGCTTGACTGATGTAGTTGGTCAATAAGGGACTAAATTTGATATGGGAAGTGAGATGTGACTCACCTCTGCTGAAATGAAACGGCACGGTGTGATTTCATTGTTTTGGTGGCCTTGATTCATCCTCTCTCTCTCTCTCTGCACGCAATCTGACTTCAACCTGTTCGGTGCTGGGGTTTTTTACCCTAGAAACTAGAGAAACTAGAGAAAAGCCGGCTGTTTTGTCAGCATGTAGCTGTGCTGTGGCCCTGTTGTTAACCGGTCCACTGTGGATCCAGCAGTTTCCGCAGGCAGCGCTGTGGCGTTGCCAAGCCGCCTCAGGTGCTGGTACGTTGGCCGCTGCCTGCATCTCTTTTTCCCTCTTTGTTGGGTTGAGTCACTATTTATCGGTGCATTTGTCATCATCTCTCTCTCTTTTTCTCTCTCTCCTCATCAGACCTGAGTCCTCAGGAGACTCTGCTGCATTTCTCCGCTCGCCGCGGCCTCTCTCGGGTCGCCCACTTCTTGCTGCAGCAGCCCGGAGCCACACAGGCCCTCCTATTGGCCAACAGAGAGGGCCACACCCCGTCGGCCCTAGCGGCTTCGAGAGGGCACGAAGACCTCCATGAGCTCCTGGAAAAGTAAGTCTTTGTACTGCAACAGAAAACCTTTTTCACGTGTGAATAACTATAAATTATCCTGTTCAGACATAAAAACGGCTGCGGAGAAGCAGCGTCCACCTAAGTTTTACAATGCAGTGCATTTCTTTCTGTTTCATTCCGAGTTTTCAAGCTGTTCTTCAGCGCTTTTTGAGGATCTTTTAAGGGTTTTTCTTTGAGTGTTGGCTGCTGCCTGCTCTTATTTCAGCCGCTCTTTTAAATGTGTCTTTTCAGAGTGGTTTGATTTGTCATTTTGCTTGTTTTACTTCTGATCCACGAATCGTTTGAGCTTCAGAAGTCGCTTTGTTGCGTCTACACTTTACAGAGAGCTTGGCAATAAAGCAGCAATTTAGGCAGTTTGTCACAGCCATCACATCACAAAGACAATTGTTCACACAGTTTTTGGTCCGCATCTACAAAAAAATGTCAAAAATTACACAGTTTGGATAATTTGTGCAACCACAAGAATTTGAAGGGGTCTTGAACAAAATACATGGCAGGCCTCACATGGAGTATTTAAGTATTTAAGAAATTTAGACAAATCCAGCAAAGGCCCAAAGTAGGAGCTGAGAAATGCATCTCTTCAGAGATGATCTTTGTGAAAGTAGATGACAAGACGCAGGAAGTGGACTGCCAATAAGTGGAAACAGGTTTTAATGGGGTATGAATCCTCCCCAGAGACCAGAGCTCAGCATTATTGAAGCAGTGTGAGATCATCTCTGCAGAAAGAGGCAGCCAGTATCCAAAGCACAGCTTTGGAATGTCCTTCAAGAAGCCCGGCAAACTCTTCCTTCAGACCACTTAAAGACGTGGCTCATGGCCGGCACTTTATGTGCTTTACTTCCCTTTACGGGCACATCTTTCAATAAATCACTGCACCCTTTTTTTCCTGTTCTATCAGCTGCTCACAGAGAAGTGAGTAGTGACCGGAGATTTGTCCTCAGTACTGCATGAAACGCCTCCAAACTCCCCTGCGAGACACCAGCTCACGGTGAACGTTGCCCTCTTCTCTCTGCAAACAGCCGCACGTCGATATGCCAGACAGCAGAAGGCTTTATTCCTCCTCACTCGAGCGCAATGTCTGCCGTCCTCACAGAACAATAGAAGTATTTAAAAAGCTACGAGAAAAAAAAAACATCACCACGAAGACCCACTGCAGCCCAGCAGAACTCCTCCGTCTGCAGATAGCGGAGAGCAAACAGAAGTTGTGGGCTGCCGGTATTGTTCCAAAGGAATCCGGCGCGATGGGAAACTATTCTGCAACACAAAGCCCTCAGTCCTGTGCCCGCTGACCTGCCGTTGCATCTTTCCAACAGCTCTGCTTTCGTCCAAACACGCACTGCGGTGCTGAAAGGGACTGAACAAATGGGCTCTGTTTGAAGTTGTCGAGTATCACCCTCAATAATTCCCCCTTACTGGGAGACTAACGAGGTCGGATTCTCTCCTTTTTCATGGCGTAAAATTAGGCCGCTTGTACAATCTGAAAAAGGAACAACTCTTCATTAAGTGGACTGTGAAGGTCCTTAAGGCATAAATGGATCCATTTCCACGTCTCCTAAGCAAACTTGTGCGTTCACTGCAGAGCGGTTTTCACTCGACAGAAAACGAGCCATAAGACGACTACCACCAAGTGAGCTTCCCCGTCGCCGGGCGTCGCTTCACAACCTCCAGCGCTCCCTTTACTCGTCGGTAATTACATTGCGCTCATGAAATGCGCAGTCGCTTTGCAGCCCGGCCGGTGACCTCAGCCCGGCAGGCCTCGCTGCGAAAGCAGCCCGCCCAGGATTACGCAAGTGGAAAGTGTGTCCGCTCCGCAGCGCTATCTCTGAGAGGGGAAGCTCTGTACTTTCTTTAGGTTTCAGCACTTTAGAGGCAAACGCAGGAGACAGGCTGAGGTCTTTCTTCCTGTGTTTATCCACCATAAGTGGCCGCCATGCCGGGTATCTGAATATGTATCCTTACACATTTTCCTCACATTCTTTTCATCGTCTTTATTGTGTGGCAGGGCTGAGACGGAGCAGAGGACCGAGACGGACCAGAGGGCTGAGCCTTCCCAGCCGGTGTCCGGAGACGCCCGGGTGCTCTGCCACCTCCCCACGCTGAAAACGCACACCCTGACGGTGAACGTCCAGCCGGGCTGCGAGCCGCCCACCCTCCAGAAGGGCGTGGAGCAGCTCCTGCACCTAATAAGCCATCTTCACCGCGAGGTGAGCCCCGCTCGCACTGCCTTATCTCCGCTCCCATTGGCTGCATCCGGGAGCACCGCTACTCCTGGACACAGTGTTTGTCTTTTTGCCGCCCTTGTTTTTTTAACCTTCGGGCCTAAGTTTGTGTACACATTGGAACACCTTATGCAATCACTCCAGATAAGGAGAGAGCAACTCTTTTTTTTTTGTTTTTTTTGACAAACGGGGTAACATTTATCCTCCTCTCTGTCTGTACTCTGCAGGGAGTTTCTGTGCTGGAGCTTCAGCTGGACTCTCTCCACACTGCTGCCGAGTGCTCCGACAGCGTGGAGGCAGACTTATCCTGTCAGGGGCAGCTCCAACAGGCTGCTCTGGCGTCAGAGTGCCTGGAATCAGTGGCCGAGGGGAGCGGGAGAGAGCACTGCACACCCGAAAGCGCTGACAGTGTTGATTGTGGACACGGTGAGATTGGGAATGCGGAGAAGGACTGCACTTTGTTTGTGAGCGATCCAACTTCAGAAATACGCCCCCAGGAGCATGGCCTCGGCCCCCCAGAGGACTGGGTGTGCCTCGCTCCAAACTGCGAGGGAGAGCTTTGCCAAACGGAGGAGGAGGGGAGGGAGCAGCCAGTTGTTTCCAGCCAGGATTTGAGTTTGAGTTTGTGTGACAGGAGCGAAGGAGCACGGGGTGAGGCTGAGGGGGAAAGCGCCACTGCTGGAACCCCACCAGCAGCAGGCAGCGGTAAACAGGCAGAGGAAACTGGTAGAGGGGAGACTGATATCCGGGAAGAACACCGAGAGGAACAGTCTGAGCAGGAAGCAAAGGACGACGCGGCCCAGAGGAGGGAGGAGGAGGAGACCAGCTCAGTAGAGTCAACCGATCTAATAGCAGCCTGTGGAGAAACAGACATGGGCCAGTCTCCGTCATCGGGAAGTTCCAACATTTCAGACGCCTCCGATTCGGAACTGAAGTTGTGTTGTGAGGAGGGAGAAAGCGTGGAGGAAGAAGTGGCAAAAGTTGTCCAGGAGCTGTGTAACCAACTCTGTCTCCATGATAAGGAGGGTGACAGGAAAGGGTTAACGGACAATGTATCAGCCCCGGGAGACCTCCCCATCCCATCGCTGATTGACTGCGGTGATGTAATCGACATGCCCGAATCTGCTGTTCCATGTCTCCTGATAGAAGGCCTTCATGAGGGGGAACCTCCGCCAGACATAAACAGCCGAGAACAAAACCAGGAAACAGCTGGTGGGGATTATGCAGTACAGCGGCAGGGTTTGGCTCCAGAAACTGGCTGTCATTCTGGGAATTGTTCCGCCGCAGAGAGCGTTGAAGAGCCAGACAGGGAAGACGGAGACGAGCCCCGTGGAGCCGAGAGCGCGGGACCGGCCGCGGAGGAGCCCGACAGTACCGACCGCCGGGACTCTGGCAGCCCCGCACGGGAAACGCAGGCCGAGCCTTTGATCTCGCCCGAAAAGATGCCCGTCAAAAGACAGGCGGACCACGACCCGAGCACGGCCCAGGGCCTCTCCAGCGACGACGAGGGCAGCTTCAGATCATTCGGGAGCTCCTCGACGGAAATATTCCACCCCAGCCATGAGAGCGTGTCGGCAGAGCCGCCCTCAACAGGAAGCCAGATGGACGACCCCAACGAGCCCCAGTCAGATGGAAGCGGCGGAGGCTCGTCAAGTGTGGACGAGCCGCCCGCATCGGGAGCCGGCGCAGACCGTCACGACAGCGCCGAGGCTTCAGCACAGGTGGCAGAGCCCATCCAGGCTTCAGAGGCCTTGACACCCGAGGGGAAGGAAGAGCCGACCCCAGAGCCTTCCCAAGAGGACCTGCTGTTGGATCAGGTGTTGTTAGCGGGCGACGGAGCTCCAGAAGCGGAGGATGCCGACGGCGGGAGCGGCGAATCCGACAGCCCTGACCCGACCATGGAGATGGAGGATCCTGCCCCAGAACCAGGTCCATCTGACAGGACGGAGAGCGGAGACGTTCTCCCGGTCCAGGAAGAGGATCGACAGGAGGAGCCATGTGATAAACCCGTGATACAGCAGCCCAAACAGGACGACCCGGAGAAGACGGCAGAGGAGGCGCCAGCTGAGGAGCGCCTCGCCGTCCCCCCGTCGGAGGTGGCAGATATAAGTCCTGTCCCTGGAGAAACACCCGCCCCCGTGGCCGATTCCTCCACGGAGCCCCCCGCAGAGAATCAGATGTCCGAGAAGGCAGAGGCTCCCGACACGGATGGAGCTCTTCAGAGCAGCAGCGAAGACACCCAAGGTGGGTAAACACAGATTTATATCCCTCCCTGATCAGCTTTATTACTGCTCAACTCACACTCATGCATCACAGGGTAATATGTTTGTCAACGTCTCATTCCTGGGAAAATGCGCTAAATCAGATCCGGCCGTTCTCTGGTGATTAATGGCGAAAGTTGGGGGAAGCTAAATGCCACGTAGCTCACTGTAATTGTGCTCCAAGAGGTTTTTAGCTTTTGTCTGTGATATATCGCTGCAAAGGCATGTTTTGCTCTTTGTGCTTTTTTTTTTGGTTTGTTTTTGTGGTTTTGCTGTCCTTTTAATTAGGACTTAGCATTCAGAAATTGGTTTGTTTTAAAATATTTATTTTAAGTTTGACATCGGCACACTAAGTTTTGCTGCGACGACTCATGTCAGGACACAATTCCCGATGCGTTCCCGCACTCTGTTTGAGTCTCTGCTCCACCATTACTATGGCACCGTAGCCACAGAGTGTCACATATGTCAGCAGGCGCTGTCACATTACCAGTGCATGTGACCGAGTCCCGACGGGCCCTAGAAAACAAACACACAAGACTGCCCACGTGAGCGCGGGCCAAGAAGTCAGACTTGCAGAGCCCCTTCTTCCAGCACTCCTCTCACTGCAATTTTCACTTATCTGAAATAATTGCATGGGACCCAAGTCCAATATAGGGAGGTCGCGGGCAAGGTTAGCAGTGTGCGTCACTCGGAGAGTGGGGTGTCATTATAAATCAGGGGATATATTTACCGCATGACAGCGGCCTGGTACTGTTGTGTTATTATTGGCGCTCAGAGACGAGATTTTCTTTTTTGCTTTCTGTTTTTTTCCCCCCTCAGGTTACATGTAAAGATGTGAATATCTTATCTCAGTCGCTTCTGTTTTTATGGGGACTTTTCCACGTCCTCTAATGCCCACCGAGCCCTGTTTCCACACATAATAACACTGTGCTAGTAACCCCCTTAATCCATCTGATAATTAAATGGAAGCAAAACCAGCGTAATTATATTTGCGTTCATCATCACAGAACAATGAAATTCTTTTGCATTTAGATGGTAATTGTTCCTGTGGGAACTGTGGCTTTCAGGAAAGTTTTCACTGCTGATAAACACACAAACACAAACTGCTACTTAGCTACTGTACACCGGCTATAACTCATCAGCTGCATGTGCAGCAAGGACAAACAAGTCCCATTTCCTTTCACTGTAAACACGCGGTTGTTTATTCCTGTATTTTAAAGATATGCTATCAGGCTAATTGTGTTTTTGTTGTGTGTATTCCTCCAGAGGTGGATGTCAACAAGTCTGAAGACACTGCAAGTGAAGCAGGAGAGGAAGAAAGTGGCCCAGCAGAGGGAACAGACTCCTCCACGGTACGATGGAATTCTCTCCTGTACTTTTTAGATGTCAGGCTCTGCTTGGTTGCGGATTTGGCTTTGATGATAAGGCGTCTTAGATGAGTCATTGTTTGCTGAAGCTTTGAAACGTACAGCAAACATGTAGTAAAGAAGAACTTGGGTTGATTTTACAGCCAATTAGTGGGAAATTGTGCCCGTCCTCACATTAAGGATTAATGTGAAGAGATCATTTAAGATAATGTCATAGTAGTTTTCTATGTTTCTCCAATTTTTCATCAATCCAGTTTAAGGCATGCGCTTCAAAATTGGTCGATTCCCCACAACCATGAATTCAAAGCTAAAGTCCACCCTCTGACCTGCTCCTGAGCCGAAATAGAAGAAAGGCACTTTGATTTGAGAGCTGCTCCGTTTCATTATGATATGCACGGGTCATTATTAAAAGGGTGTTCCTTTTCAGACATTAGCGGCGTGTGGAAGAACAGTCAGCGTTTGGCACGACAAATGTTCCCCTTTAAACCAAAGCAGTCCAAAACGATGTGGGTGGAATTTGATGTGCCAGCGAGATATTTGTAGAAAGTTTGGTCGGAGTGCTGAGATCTGACTAAAAGAGGGGGGCGATAAGATCTCCCCGCCCCGTCTTGCGAAGCGGCTCTGCTGGAGCACATGGATGCGATCTCCAGCAGACGAGGCTTTGCTGTGAAATGTTGCTGACTGACGGATTCCTCTGCAGCCATACACTGGAGCTGCTCTGCTTATTCCTGGGTTGTGGTCTGGGTCAGCGGCTTGTTCTGAATGCCAGATGTTTCTGCGCCGGAGCGGATGGGGGGGGGGGAGACGACAAACACACAACCTGCGTGTTGAGGGGTCGCCAGCAGGGGGAGATGTAACCTCAGTGGCATCAGTGGATCAGAGCAGACATGATGTGTTTTGAACCAACTGCGGTGAAGTGAACCTCCGGGTGGCAAGATTCTTTGATTTACAGATTATTTGAAGAAACATTACAAATGCATCCAGTTCTATGATGTTGCAATATATCAAACGTTTTAGGTGTATATCCAAAGAACTGAGAGAGCTTCACACTGACTATCCGCATGGAGTGAGACGTGGGGTTAACGAAGTAATTAATAATCACCTGCAGTGGCACAGTGCTTTGACTTGATGAGAGTCGTTTCGACAGCAGCAAATTTAGAGCTGTGAGACTCAACATGTGTGATATTGTTCCAGGCGTCAGTGTCTTTGGTCTCAAATCACTCGTCGGAGCAGGAAACATAGTTTTCATTAACAGCGGAGAGTCCTGCCGAAGTGCACTAAAGAGCAAAACATGTATAACTGAGCAGGAGAGGAATTCATTTCTTGAAATAGAAATGGGTTTCAGATAAAAGACCCAAGGTGAGGAGACAGTCTCTTGTGGGGATGAGGTCACTTAATATGTTTGGTCACCGATCTGGCTCTTAACATTATTATTATTTGTTACAGATTTATTGATGATATTGTTCTCTTTAATACAAAAAAAGTATTCGTTCAATTTAAAAGAAAATGAAGTCCACTTATATTGATACAAATGTAAATCAATCTGAAGGAGATTCAGCTCAGTGTTCTGTATCCTTGCTCAGCAGCAGTCCAGATTCATGGGAATGTGCAACAGTAACCTGGTTTCCATTACTGGTGGAAATAATCTGTGATTAATCACAGCAGCTGACCCTCCGACTGCTGAAGACAGAACACGACTCTGTGGAGACGTGTTCACAGAGTAATGCTCAGCCAATGGTTTAAGCGAAGAGGCTTTTTTCATTGGATTTATGGCTGCCTGTGTACAGTTCACTCTTTTGGTAATGAAACAATGGTACAACGCCACGTCGGAAGGCTCACAGTCAAACTCCAAGTACGTCCCACCAGCATATTTGGGTATTTTATTAACTAATAAATTGTAATGTGTGCGAGATTTCAGGTTTTCACATGCCGTTGTGGCTGCTTTTCTTTTCTTGAACTTCCACTTCAGCTTTTTTGCTGAAGCAGCAGCCGCACCTTCCCCGACCTTGTTCAAATGGATCTATTGTCTCCCAAAGTTGTAAATCTCATCTTTATTTTGGTCTCACAAGCGCTCAGTAGGATTTAAGTCCAGCAGAGATAAACGAGCGAGTTCATTATTTAAAGGGTGCTAGCAACAACAAAAAAACAGATTATACGTGAGGATATTTACATAAAATCTACATTATATCTGGGCAAGTATGATGACACTTTATCTTACATTTGAAATAAATTAAAATCATTTAAATTAATTTATTATGGAGCACTGAAACTTTAAAATGGAGTGGAGATGCTCACAGGAATTGGACTTAAGCTCCCCTTGAAAATCTATTAAACCTGTTTCCTATGTGGCAGGAAGAAAAAAACACAATATTAGCAGAATCCTGAGCAGGGCAAAATAACATTTCTGACTTTTGGAAAATCCAAACTTTAATTCCCATGACTGGTTTTAGCCTTTTGCCTGGTAGTCAGGTGGTGGAGCACTCCTGCTTAACCCTTTAACATCCTCCTCACTACACTTGTCACTGGTTATACTCGGTCACTGGAGGATGTGCGCTTACCTAAACTCGCCCTAAAATGAAGTTTAGGTGTGTGATCTCTCACTTAAGTCATACCATTTCTTTTTTAAAAATTCACATCTTAACGATGAAGTGTCACCCCAACTATCTGCGAAAAAAGCATAGATTCTAGTTGTTTTTGCTCCAAAGAAATGAAAATAAAAAAGCACAAATATATTTCCCCATCCTATATGTTGAGTTTAGATGTTAAAGGTTTAAAGAAGCTGCCCACCTGACTCGTCAACTTCAAAATGTACTTTTGTACTCTTGTGATTTTTTCCTCTAATCAACAGAGTTCTGAATTGGGTGGAAAGTGATAGCAGCTGCCAATGCTATACCAGAATCCACACACTAAATGAAACTAAATGAAGCTCAGTCTATGAGAGCCAGCTTTGGTAAACACCAGCTGGATTTGAAGCTTAAAACACAGTCTTGCTGGGATCTGAGAGTTTAACTGGCTGTTAAGACACTGCTTCACACATTAAGCTTTACTGTCAACCCGTTGCTCCGTGCTATGTTTTAGTTTTTAGCAGATAGAGCTGAGAACTGTTACTTGGGTGAGCTTCTTTTAACTAAAGTTTGTTTTTGCAATTTTGGATGAATTTAAAAAAAAAAAAACAATTTTTCTGAAAATTGATGGATGTTCCATCTGGAAGAAACAGTAGTTGAACTGTTAGTTGGGTTTCCTGGAATGGATTTAGGATATTCATCAAAAGCTACTTGGGAAACAACACACAGCTGTCTCTTTAGCGAGCTGTAGAACTGCTTTTATAACAGCTCAGAGTCAGCTGTTGAAGGCAAAGCAAGGAAAAATAACAAAAGAGTTTGAACCTCCCGATTCAGAGACGCCGTGAACGCAGCATGGTTTGAACTGAAACTTGGGCGGAGTTAAAGACTCTTAGGCCAAACAACAATACTCTAAGCTGCGAGCCCCAGAATTTTCTGGCTCAAGGAGCCGCACGCAAAGTGATGGTTGTGTATTTTCTGAGGTATTAAACAGGATATGGCTGCAGACACCCAAATGCCTGTGCACAAAAAGGTGATTATTTTCATATTACGGACCCCCCACTGAACCACAGAACATCTGGCTCTCTCCAAATGACAGAGTTTGCATTAGAGAGGAGGTTGATTGGTTTGCTGCCTCCCACCTTTGTGTTGTTTGCTTACCAGAGGCAAGGCAGAGGTCAGAGCAGAGCTCTGGTGCCACCAAACAACAGATAAGCTGAAGGGACAGCCACAGAAATCCGAATATTGTTCAGGAGAAGCTTTGTCTGTGTGGACCCCAACATGTTCCAGGTCTATGCATTTATTACAGTGGTATTGTTGATACCTGGGCATTACCCCATACAATATTTACCATCTGTGGGTTTAAAAAAAAACTAGCATGTTTGCCTCCCTGGTAAAAAAACAAACAAAAAACATTACCACTGTGTTGCATTTGGGAGTGGGTAAAACAAGTTACGCATTTCCCTTGTCACAATTAAATTAATGGGAAATTCTCCATTCACTCTGTTGTTACCTGCCATGGCTTACCTACTTTTTGCAGACTGATCACACCCCAATACACGTCTATAGCTTCAGAAGAAGGTCTGAGGTGTTCACCTGACCTCCGAACTCCCACAGAATCCAGTCTCATCTACTTCTTTATCTTATCTTTATCTACCGATCCACATAGAGACTGCTTGTAACCTCAACGGAATAAAGTGATATATTCTTAAAAAACAAGAACAAAGCGGTAAATTTTTTTTCTTTACATAAGTTGTTGCTCCTCCCTGACTTTATTATTATAGGGGGGGAAACACTTAACTGTGATGATTGAGTCCCATTGACTGAAGGAATAATGCCCTGTTGTCATCTGTCACAGAGGAACAATGCAGTACTTTAGATGATGGTTCAAAGGATGAGAGAGAGCCATTCACAGCCTCACAGAAAGGAAGCAAGAGAGAGAGAGAGAGGGGGGGAGCAACGGCATGAGTCAGGGAGAGTCTGGAGAAGTTGAGAGGCGACATAGAACAAGAAAAAGAAGGGAGGGAGGGAAGAAAGGAAAGAGGGAGGGAACAGAGCTGGAGTCTGGCAGAGGGCTGCCTCTGTGGCCAGATGTGAAGCTCAGCAGACCGCCTCAGCTCTCCTCCACCGTGGATTTTTACGCTGGGTTCAGCACACCCGCGCTGGATGTTTATGCGAAAATGTACGAGCGACACAAGCGAAGGTACAGCCTTTGTGCCAAAGGCGAGAGGGCCGTAGACGTGGTTCTGATCAAGGTAGGCCACTGTTCCGCACTTTCAAACAAAGTTCTTTGGTACGGTAATACCTTCAAGAGCCACAGTAATGACAGCCATCTGAGCAGAGTTTTGAAAAGCAAGAGTTCTCCAGTGTCCAAGACGGATCAAATCGTTAGAAACAGCTAGAAAGGGCAGGGTGATATTAATTTAAGGCCGGAGATGATGAGTGACATCATTACTGGAAAATGAAAAGTGTTAAGTGGAGTTTCATGGCGGGATTTGGAGCAGCTT